TTCCTTTTTTCTTCGTTTCAGTGCTATTAGGGAACTATTCACAAGTGCAACCCCGAACAATACTATGCAGTAATTATGACTAGATGACAAAGAGATGCGAACAATTACTGAGCCCATTTTGAAACCCTACACTAATAAAGTCATTAGATGCTGCCCTTGCCATGAGCCTTCTAAAAGCTTCTGAAGTTACAAGAACACACGGCATTGTTTGTTAGGACAATCGCTGCTGGCAGAATGCAAACCTTGAGTTAAACCATGCTGCAAATTGATCTTGACATTCTGTTAAGACCGCCACTAAAATCAAAAGCAAAGGAGAAAAGGAGAAAATGAGCGGGTGGGATGTAATCATGGAACAGAAGGGTTCCCTCCTCACCTTCTTTCCTCTTCCTCCTCAAAACAAACCATACAGAAAATGACAAACTCGCCTGGTGTTTGAGAACCTTTATTTTTAAAACATTAATTAGACTTTTGACCTGTTTTTATTGACTGGCACTGTATTGCTATTAGAGTAAATTAAATAAAATGCTGCAAAATACAATGGAAAAGGTTTTCACACTGTTCTGTGAAGCCTGTTCAGGATTTAGTGATAAAGAACATGTCCAACAGTTTTGCAAGCAACAAATACAGAATCTACAGTCACTCCTGAAGAGGCAGTGAGAAATTAACTCACCGAGCCCAGCTCTCACAGACCCCACACCTGCAATATATTTGCCGAAGGATCAAATAGGATTGGGGAGATGGAGTAATATGGTCAACTGGTCTTCATCCAGGCATGCATCATTCAGTAGGTTAGTATTAAGGGTCAGCAACTGTGAATATGGCTAATTATATGATGACAGAAATTGCAGGTGAAGACAACCTGCTGCTGAGAAGCACTTTAGTCAATTAACTCTTTCCTAAGCTTAAGCAAAGTGAAAAACTATCATTTGAACATTAAAACTAACAAGTACCTGTCATCAGAGCTGAGAAAAGTTGGCAACAGCTTGAAATACAGTGCCCGAGGGCAGTGATATCAAAAGCTAAAAAGCTGCTACAGACATTCGAGTCTCTGTTTTATGGTTTTGGCAGTGTTTTCTTTGGGAAACATTATGTACATTGGGAATCTGTTAATATTACACATAATCTGTTTGTAAATGCTGTGTGTACAAACACAAGGGCATGTGCATATATGTATGTATATCTGTATACATATGTATTCACTTTATAGCTGTCCTGGATACAAATAAATTATATTAATGCATATTAATGAATTAACAAAATTAGGCATGTGCTTGCATACATATATATACACACACTTCCCATGCACAGGCACATAATTATGTGAGAATAGTGGTATTTAGTCAACTCTTTGAAGTCAGAAAGTGCCAGAACTATAGCTGCTCATGTCTGGCTCTCCTGCTTATCTATCCCATGACCTCTCTGGAAACACGAGGAATCGCTTAGCTCATGCGATGGCCCAACGCAGCTGGTGAGCTGTTGCAGCCGGGTGCTTGGACCAAAAGGTAGGGCCAGAATTGTCAACACCACCGCTGCCAACCACCACTACTGCCAAACACTGCTGCCCCGACACCTCCTGTAAGGGTATTTCTGCTGTTGGGAGTGCCACGGTAGCAAATCCCCAGCCAGCAACAGAAAGGTAACAGTGATTTTTAAGCTCATGATTCACGCCCAGTTGGCTGCAATCTAACATGAAAGCAAAAGATGTATCTGTAGCTTTGTGGTTTTTTTTTTTTCCCTCCTTTGACCATAGACAACATGAATTACAAGACTATTAAAAAAAGTTGCTCACTAAAATCTAGACTGTAGGTGCTAAAGCTTTCACACAGATTCCTTAACAGTATTATAAAAACACTGTGTTATTTTCCTAAATGAAGGCTAACAATTATATTATGCATTTTATTATGATTTTTTTAAATTCTACTCATGAAAAGATTAGTAATTTGCAGCACTTGCCCAAAGTAATAACTCCCTTTTCTGCAAACCTTATGTCAGAGGCAATTAAAAACTGTGGAAGCCAGAACAGAACATCATCGTAGCTCTATTAACTAGAGTTCCCCTTCAGTCTGAGAAAGTAACAGTCCCAGGAGGCTGTAGTTAGAAATTTTTAAAAATCTGACTCCCAAAGTCGTAATGCTTATGTTCTTGCACTAGTTCCAACAGTTACCATGGTGCTCGCACACAGCGTTTTACTTCTAGTCCTTCCTACAGAACTCTCTTCACCCTGTTGCAATCAGCGTCGAAGAACAAGATTGAGAGATTCCAGCTGAAACATGCTGGTGTACAGTAAGGCAGGATTCAAAGCACATCTCTACATCAGCATCAGTTGAGAAAAGCATTAAAAATTAGGAGCAATGATGAGATTTTTGAGCTGGTTTTGTTCTACAGCATTCAGGATGGACCCCCATTTCATTAATGGGAAAAATGGAAACTCTTATTAAGACCGTTTTTGGAACGGAATGGCACCCGCAGATGTCAGAAAGCAGACAGCAAAGAGCAAGAAAAAAAAAAGAATATTCAAGATTCTTTGGCTTATATGAGGCAAGTATTTCTATCTGTTTGAACTTTCTCATGCCATGCTGCAGTATTAAAAGCCCGTCTTCTACTACTGACACCGAGGTGTCCCTGTGGACTGCTGTTAATAAAGTGGTCCTGCTTCCCCTGCCTTTTCCACTAATGCAATTGTAGCAGCACAAGTAAGTTGCTCCTGGGCTACACTAGCATGCAAAAAGCAGTTCCTTCTGTTGTTGCCGTTGTCTTCTCACCATTCAAATAAAAAGCTACGTGCAATTGTATTCACAGGGATACGGAACAGGATAGGCTCCAAGACCACTGTCATTGTGTCACATAATGAAGGGTGGTAATTAAACAGAGGTACTGAGTATTTATTTATGGGAATGCCCACAGTGCACTGGCACTTTCCAGAGGGAGAAGGAAGCATCATTCCCCCTCTGAAGAAATCACAGACTAAGGAGCAGGATGTGACACTAAACGCAACCAAGAATTTATTCTAGTTTGAGCCAGCATGCCTTGTTTACCCTTTACTATTTTTTGACCTCACTGTTAATATGACAGTTTCTTTGTTGTTGTTAACAGAGAGCAAAAAATGAAGGTTTAAAAACCCTATCGTACTGCACAATCGGGAACTAGGTTCATTGAGAATAGCTATAAAGCCTTAAACAAGCCCTTTATTTTGTGTTTTAAGAAGTGTCATAAGGAGTTAATAGGACACAGCTGTACAGGCTCTTTCTAATAAGCAGCTTCTGTCGCTTTGGTCACCACAGGTGTCTCTGTAACCTGCAAACTCTTATTACTAGTGTATCAAAGTTGTGCTACTTAATAGATTTCTTTAGTAAAACACAACAAAGCAATTACTTGGCTGTTGATTGTCAGTCATAAAAAAACCCTCAAACACAGTTTTTCAAAAGAAACTACACTGCAATTTTTTGTCATTGTAAAATAAAAGAAACTAGAGAATTAAATAGAAAAGCGAACAATAGAACAGCAGGTAGTCAACTGAACTTAGCCACTACAGATGGTTTAGAAATAGTGTTTCCTTCTACACCAAGTTGTGGGATAAAAGAAAAGGAGAAGGCTCCTTACTGCCCATGAATGGCAATACCAAAAGACTTAAGCAACTTTCCAGTCTATGTATTTGGTCCCATGAAAGAACTTAGATGTTTCTTTTTCCTCTCTCTCTCTCTTGTTTCTTTTTTTAAAAAAAACTTTTAATCTGTTTTTATGACTGCTTTTTTCCATAATCTTTAACTCTTGTCTAGAATAACATAAACTAGGAATATAGCTGCTGATTCATCCGATGACGAAATGCAGAAGGTCGAGTGAGGAATTCCTGTGAAACACCAGCATCATTTAAAAAGTGTATTAGGAAAAGAGATTGTTCTGTTCTCCATCCCCACTTTCAGTAACGAATTATTAACTGTAGTTTACATAGTTAGGAATAGGAGTGCCTGAATGCTCTGTTTTAGCAAGCCACAAAAGAAACAAACATAAATGCGTCCTTTTAATTGTTCAATAATGCATGGAACTGTGTTAAAAAAAAAAAAAGTGGCAACCTTATCCTAGCCCAAATGACTGTTGCATCTTTTGTTCAAAAGTCAGAATAACTCTCATTATAGTAATGTACTCAAGACAATATCCTGGCTAGCAGTTGTCTTCTGTGTAAATAAAGGTGATGAAATAAGGTCCAAGTTAGAAAAACAAACAAGTCTGATTTCTAAATATAGTAAGTACAATCATAAAATCATTATTTTCAGTAGATTATGATAAACTGATAACTAAAGAAGAGTGAGGTGTTAATATAAAGATAAGAAAATTTGTTGGTCATACACGGAAGATGTAGAAGGAGGTGGGATCTGCGTTTTTTAATTTCTTTACTTGTCAGCAAAATGGTGGCCTCTCTAAGACACTGGATAGCTTTTGTTATATTAAAACCCATCAAAATATCTGAACATTACCAAAGGAGTAGAAAATTTCATATGAATTGCAAGCTTTTAATTTTTTGCATAACCTGCTTTAAATATTAATTTTAAAAATAACATTGGTGTGATAAAGAAATTTTTCATTAACAACAGCAGTTATTATCCCAGGCAGTTCTAATGCAGTTACACCTATGTACATACAATTAGTGTCACGTGTTATGGCACCACAATGCAAAACTGTGAAGACACGATCCTAGAACTCTCTTTGCAAAATAACACATCCATCCCCACCACCACCCCCAAAAAAAAAACCCCAGGGAAATAACATCTTCAAATATTTTCTCCTGCAGAGGAATAGAGAAGTCACTTTGTAATGAAAACAAGGACAGTCCAGTTCTCAGTGAACGTCAGCCAGCACACCCTCACTGATGACTAAGAATGAGCATGAAGTTTTTAGTTCAAATATGTATCAAGGAACAAAAGATTTGATTTGCAGAGACAAAACCGAGATAAGGATCTTCCTTGAGAGAAAAGCTGCTCCACTCACAGTCCAAAGAATCTTACCTTGCTCTGTTTGCTTCTTTTGTCATGTCCCATGCCCAGGTTATGAAGTTCTGACTCAGATAGGAGACAATAGACTCAGCACAAAGCATTTGGGAGCAGAAGACATTGGTTAGTACACTCTCATCATGGTGGAGGTAGATAGCAAGAAGCTTTCTCTGAAAAGACATGAGAAAAGATCAGTGAAAATTTCCTCAGGCTATTCAGTAATTTAAAATCAGTGCTGCAGATTTGTGTGTTAGTACACCCTACGGCTGCCAAGTATCTCAACGTGAACACACAGGGGAAAAAAACCCCAGTATATTTCAAGTGACATGGTCCATCCCTCCAAATGCATAAATGTTCTCAATGCTTCCTAATATTTTATCTCAGGTACCAAGACATGATATATTATATGCTTAGGGCATGAAAATAGCAACATCTGAACAAAAACCAAAAACCCTATTAGCAGACTTAGCTTAAGGAATAAGTGAACTTTTTGGCTTGCTGCCCAATAAAGGTAACATTTGGAAGAATCCCCCGAGCAAGGAACACAACTCACACCTCTTGATACACCACCATCTCTGTTACAAAACAATTACAAACAACCTCAAAAAATAACAGTGTATTGTTATCACCCATTATCTGCAGCCAAAGAGAGGAAAATGAGTAACAACCAATCCAGCTGCCTACATTCCCAAAGCCTGTGACGCTGCATGCTGGATGTTTTGGCAGCTCTCCATCCAGCCGTGTGATGTGGGGAGGCCCACAGCACATCTGCCTCTCACCTGCTTTGTGAGTCGCTGTGTAGCTGGTCAAAAGGCCGTGTGCCAGCCCGGCTGGCTACGTCTCTCGTGGAGCTGAGGAGCAAGGTAGCTGCCCCAGCACTGCGAATGCGTGGGAAGCAAGGGAAGGGGTATGGGAGACACGGATCACATCCCACGTGGAGTTTGTGAGCACTGACATATCTCATCATAGTTACCACATTAGCAAAGACTAGATGTTGGGGGTGGTGTTAGCAGCCTCTTGAAACAAAACATTGTGTCCTGTTCTGAACTCCTATCAAGTATTGTTTGAGCTTCACTGCCAGCAGCGTACAGCTGTGCTGTGTCCCCATGATAATCTCTGACCACCTTTTGGAAAGCGAGTCTATGTGTATGTAAAGGTAGAAAGCAGACTGAGAAAAACATTGGGAAACCATGAGCCCGTTAAGGACCATGATCCTCTATCTGGTGTTCAGTGAATTAGAAATAGTGGTCAGAAAATTACAACTTTCCATTCCCCCGTATCCTTACATATTACTTACTTTATTTTAAAATCCTACTTGAACGTATTTGCTGAGACAATATGGTAAATGCTATTTTCAGACTTTTATTCATATTTTTAATTAATATATATGATATATAAAAATTTTAATGAATTATTTCAAATCTCTTCATCAGAAGTAACACTGAACACTAGAAATTGATTAATATTGATACAGCAAGACATGGGATGCAATTCTGAGACAAGCTGCCTTTGTAAAAAACCTGTATGGCCATCACCTCATATACTGGCTTCGGACAAAACTTACTGACTGATATAAAAAGAAGAATACATTTGAACATTAGACTTTGAGAAAGGGATTAGTAATTTGCATTAATGTTTGTCTAATTTAATTTAAATGTTCTTCAGAACCACGTACACATGTGCCAGGAAGGGCCATTAATAAGCTCAACATGCAGAGATCCATATAAGTGCAGCCAACAATGTTGACTGAAACTAAACTTGAAAATCCAGGGCACTGATGCACAATATCAAGCAATAAAACAGCATTTCTGTGGTGATATTTAATTTAAAAAGAAGAAAGAGGCAGGGGAAGATCAGGCACTGTCTGTTTTTGAGGATCAGCCATTCTGCATTTCAAAGCGTCGATCCCTGCAATATCCAGGTTACTGTGCTAGAATCTCGACTATTATATAGCAGTTGTAAGAGAGGGAGGGCAAAGATGTGTTTACTCAGTGATTAGGGCCTTAGAATAAGCCTCTAGCTCCTAGAGAGACAGCTCACCACTTATTCATTTGGACCAATTCACAAAGCCTAGAAAGATTAAACATCCATGCTGAGAAGACAAGCGAATGCAGACGGTGAAAAAGAAATAAAAATTCTTTAAAAACTCCGAGATGACTTCATTATTTTTTCCACAAGGAAACTTTAGGAAAGTGTTTAGTTAGAGAAAAACCCACATTGACCTCTCTCTAAACCCTTAATCTTTCCTTTGTGGTGGCACTGCTTTGTGGTAAGCGGATGGCTTTGCTCTCCTCTTTTCACTGGGAGCGGGTAGGAAAAAAAGGCTCTTGAGAAACACTTTTACTTCCAAAGAAACAACCCCATGAAACTGTTAAATATGAGATTCCATACAACGGAATGTTTCAAAATATGTACAGTTTTAGGCTTAAAGATTTAGGGACAAATTTTAGTAAACAGAACAGGCACGTACACAATAGATGTTTACACTGAGCTACTTTACAAGTGAATGTAATTATTGTTGCATCGTCAAATCTCACCGTGCAAAGCCTAAACTCTGTCATATATGAAAGACTGTACTTGCGTCTGATAAATCAACCAAAATGTTAAGATCATGCACAGGCATACTGCTAGGAGAAATAAAAAAAGATAGTGGGAGGAATCGAAGTGCTGAAACATGACTTTGAAAAATCTTAGTGGAAGCCAGGGATACTTTGTCCTTGGGAAATTCATTATTGCAAAAGCACAAGTCTTAGAATTTGCTGTTGTTGTGTGGTTTGGTTGTTTTTTAACTAACCCACGGTAGTATATATTTATAAGCAGGTTTTTGTTGTTTTTATTTCAAGCCTTTGAAAAATCAGAGTAAATTCTAGGATTCTATGATGACTAATACTAGGAATTTTTTAGTCAATACTAATAAAATAGGCTTACTAAACTGTCCAACAGCCTTGAGTTCCATAAAAGAAGCCTACTAATGGAGCACTAGTCTGTTTTGTGTTGGATTTATCAGAAATATGTCGACTCTGGAGTTACATAAATTTTTAACCAAGAAAAAGGACCCAATGGGGAAGAACTTTTGCTAGTCCCTGTGGAGGTGTGGCATACTGCAAAGGTTGTAAGTATTGAATAGTTGATGGACTTCCAAAGGCCTTAGAACTTCAGGAACTTAAGCCATCAAGAGATCTATTTTTCAGAGTACGCGGATGCTGAAGGTCAGGCAGCCTCATCCACTGGAATTGTCAGAAGGAGCCTGGATTTCCAAACATACTGGGGAGTCTAAGTCTCATCAATGCCAATAAGATTTAAGATCCTTAAAGCTTGAAGTCTAAGCTCTGGGTTTCATTTTATTTTCAGAGTAAGAAACACTGGGACCATGAGAAAGAGGTGCTGTTTTCAGCATTCTTAGTTACTAAAATACATTAAAAAAGCCAGACCTCAAGCATGTTTTCTACAGCTGCTGTTGCATTCAGACGGCATGAGACTCAACCTTGCCTCACACACACCACTATGTATTTGCAGTGAAGTGCTGCAGCCCTCTCCTGCCCGATTTTGATGTGTTGATGGAACATGACCGGCACATGGCACCCTTGAAGGAAACGTGGACTGTAGATGGACATTGCACTGCAGCAGGGCAGCCCCCAGAGAGGCACAGTCCTGCCAGCTGTAACCTTGCGCCATGAAACCATGAGAGAGATCTAAGGTGCACCTACAGTCCCACACAGGAGACAAACACATTAAAGACCTGTCCTACGTACCAAAACAGCTATGCCATCCACTTGGTCATTTCTGCACTTTGGAACTTCAGAAAAGTTAACGTACTTTGTACAGAATTAGAAGAAATTAAGCTAAAGTTGTCACTGAGGCAGAAAGAAACACAGATCTTCATGAGGTTGAGAGACTAAACTGATAATCACTGGCTAATGGGACAGCCAAGACTCTCAGCCAGTTCCTAATAATGTAAATAACTTTGATAGCTCAGAAGAACGTGAACTTGAATGAGAATAGCAACACAGTCAAAAGGGTCAGTAAAACCAGAGACCTTAACGGTTATTTTTGAATTTCAGGTTTACAAGTTCAAGTAATGACCGAGACAAAAACATTCACGATGTAAAATCTGCTAGAGGCAGGAATGTTCTTGCAAGTCGGTAGGCTAACAAATAATTACATTAATTTTTCCTCTAGGTTTTATGTAGTGAGAGCTACGAATTAACAAAGGGACACATTAGCACATCTTTAAGCCTTTGAAGTGGACAATCTGATCCATCACTCTAAAGTGATCTTGGAGATCATATGATCACCCCCCCGGATACAGCTACTCTACTATGCACAACCTTTTTTTTTTTCCCTAAGCAGAATGCAAAGCTTCTCTAACACCAAGGAGACACACCTTCGAATTTACTCCACTTTGAAAAAGGATCAAAGGAGGAATAGGGCAGATGGAGATTCATAGGAAATCTTGTCTGTGTATTACATGTAACAGAACAAAACCTGCTGAAGATAAGCATTATTAAACTCCCTTGCACCAGTCAAAAGAAAGGAGACAGACACCAAAGGCAGAGAGACAAGACTAACCAGCCTCTAGCCTTGCAGAAGAGGATCTGAACTCAACGGGCTCACTCCCACAGGTTCCTAAAGTGGGAGTGAGGTGATCCCCGTAATCTGACCTGGTCTTTTGTATTATACATGGCATAAGACATCCCTAAACTAATTCCTAATTTTATCTTTCAGTAATTTTATCTTTCAGTGAAACATCTGGTCTCAAAACAACATCAGTGATAGAGAATCCATATGAACCATGGTAACCCCAAACAACAGCGTATTAGGTATTTACATTTGAGTTTTAAAAAAGTGTGTTTAAAAGTGTGTTTAAAAAAGTGTGTTTTATTTTAAGTTTGATTTAGTTTACTTTCGTCTTCCAACTATTTGATCCTATTATACTGTTGTATCTCTGTTTCAATCAACTGAACTTGTAGGGATATCTTACATAATGCAAAGAATATCTAGTAACTAAAACAGAAGTCAAATAAGATCTATAAATCATAGGCTTTGAAAGAGGAGGAAATGTAGAGTGTGGCAGACAATTTCAAAAAACTTACTTATTATATATTATATTATATTTAATATCAAGTATAGGGGATGCTGAAGAGAGACCCATACCCAGGATTAACCTTTCAGATAGGAAAGATGAAGCTATTCTTCAGATATTAAGCATAAAGGGTGTGTAGGCACACAGTGAGAATACTAAAATGGTATCTTGTAACAAAAATTTCTAAACAATGGTTATCCACAAGTTCAGAATTAACTTACGAATGAAAGGACAGAACTGCTAACACACACCTCAGGCAAACCTGGAATAAAAATTTAGGTGACTAACATGGGACTTCACTGGAATTTATGTACTGACATCTACCATAATGCAGCTGCTTTACTCTTCCTGGGAACCTAGAGTTATACTTCTACACCTGTCCCCTCCAGTTTCAAGCAGATCATGTAGATTAGTGCTCAGGTTATTAATGTTTAATTGGAATCTGTAAAGTAGTAATTTTTCCATCTAGGACCCTCAGACAGCTCAACTACAGACGCATTTTCAAAGCACACCTAGGACACACAATATGACCGTGTCCCTTATAAAACAGAGGAATAGCAATTTGACTTGATTTGAAATGTGCCTGGAGTCAAAGTAAAAGGTGTTGGTACATCTGTACTTCTTGATATCACTCTGCAGTATTTAGGGAATAAATGGGGGTAAAAAGACTAAACCAAAAAGCTGTCCTGCAGCTGGAATTCAGAACGTCCTTCTATGCAAGGTAGCATCTCAAAAGACAGACTTCAAATTTCTCTTCTGTGACAAGACGACTGGAGAGCAGTCAATGCTGTTTCTACAACGTGCTCTAACAGAAATCAGAATAATTATCTGTGAATCTTTTTTCTGCATTAAGTTCAGCATAAACTTAGATGAAATGGTAAGAAAGGACAGTTTTCTGAGTTAACAGATACAAATCATAGAATCATAGAATGGTTTGGGTTGGAAGGGACCTTAAAGATCATCTAGTTCCAACCCCCCTGCCATGGGCAGGGAATTGTACTACAGAAAGCCCTGTATGAAAGAATATTCTGCTACCATCAAGAAAAAAAAGGCTTTTATTTGAAGATGCCAAATCATGGAAGGAGCATACTTTCTTTTCTGAATACCTAGAAGAAAATACCCATATGTGAGAGGGATGGTGCTGCCACTAAACTGAACCTAAAAGACAGAATTCAAGGAGAAGAAAAACATGTTCATTTTCAGTATGCAGGAATATATATTGAGGTGACAATACCAATCTGTGCTAAGAGAGATGTTTCACATATTTATTAAAAGTCAGTGGACAGAAAGGTTGAGAGAGGAGCAGGAGGTGATCTGAAGGAAGTATATAAAGATAAGAGCTCCTGAAAAGGTAAGGCAGATGTCTTCATTCTTTTTAATAATAAAAGAGTAGCAACCACCTATAAAAATGAAAAGGCAAACAAGCTTTAATAAAAGAAAATATTTTAGTATTTTTCAAGTAAATAGCTCAGTGAGATTCAATATAGCGATTAAGACCACTACGAGTTAGCACAACCCCCCTGATGTTTCGGAAAACAGGGCACCCACAGACTGCTTTCAGTCACAAAGAAACCTTCACCAAACATCTTGTTTAAAACTGTCTATTAGAAGATTTCTTCCATGGCATCTGGTTTAGGTATTGCTATGATAGTGTAATTACTTGAGCAAGAGTAAGCTCGTTTGTCATCAGGCGATACAACAAGGAAATGTTTCTTTCCAACTGGCACAATAAGTAGGGGAAGAATTTCACAAAACAACTGATTTGTTAATTTAATAAACCTCTGTCTCTGTTTGTCATTCTGACCCTATTAAAAATAATAAATATTTTCTTGTGTTGTATATACAGAAAGCCTTGGAAATGAACCCACAATGCCCTGAACTATCAGGCTGCAGGACGCAACTGGGGATTTCATTGCCAAGGACGCTGGTTGTCGAAGGGAAAGCTCTGTATCTTGGCTACTGTATTTTTGTGCTGAAGAGAGAGATAGGTTTTAAAGCAGAGTTACATTTGACCTCATTCCATCGCTCCTACCTAGAAGTGGCACTACCATGGTAGCAGTTGCTCTAAAGGAAAAAAAGACATCCATCATGCATGTTAGTCTTAACTATCTAAAGACAAATTGAAAAACTACAATAACAAAAGCTAAACAAAACACAGGTGTCAGACAAACATCTAAATCTTTTTTGCAAGTTACTTCTTTCTCGAGTAAGATTTTCCTTAAGCAGCTTTGAACTACCATCCTTTCCAACACATGAAAACAAAAGACACTAAGATTTAACAGAACACCACCTATTTTCTTAAAAATAACCTGTAATTTGTGTTTAAAACACATGTTCTGACATAAGTTAATTTTCTTAAAATACCCCAAATTAAAATATTCCTGAAAAAAAGCCTCAAGTTGATACATACTGGGATTTTATGGAGGGAAAATTTTCCGCAATGCAGATTAAAAATGTAGCTGAGGGCTGTCTCGCTAGGCCTGAACTGCAGAGTGCGCCTTCTGCTCTGGACAGTGTTGAGAATTTGTCAAGAAAAGGCTAAGATCTCTGAGCACTCAAGCTGCCAAGTGCTCTCAAATTAAATCAGTTTGAAGCGGTTTTCATTAAGATGGATTGAGTGTGGCATCGTGAGAAACACTCTATCAAATGTAGTGTTTTACTTAGTGATTAAGTATATACCAGTTGATGAAGCTACCCAAATCCTTCGTAATCCCACCACTCCAATAAACATTTAATGAGTATATAAGTTCAAAAAGCCTAGCAGAGGATTTAAACCTTCAATCTTGTTTTTATTTACTCTTGGAACTCAATTTCTCACTTCAAGTGAAGAATGCTGGTGCCTGAAGCTCATCTGTTGCCCTGGTAAAATTAAGTGGCCTCCACAGTATAAATTAGAAGACAAGACATAGAGGTTGCAATTCCTCCTAAGCTTTATTTCTTACACTGATATACATATTGAATTACTTTATGAAATGCAATTATAAAAGTATAAAATAATGTATCCCTTTCCTTGATTATGAATTCCAGAAGGCAGTACTGAAAAAAATTGTTTGTAACAGGAAAAATGAAGTAAAAATAAATGGTGTATACATACATTCTCACACCTTTGTTTTAAATCAGAATGTTATAATAAAACCAAGGTCATTCCGCAGAGTAGTTGGGGGAAAGGGCTCCCAAAAATTAGGGCAATATTTGGAGGGAAAAAAAATTAAAGAAAAAAGCCAGAAAAAGAATACTTTCCTAAATATATAACTTTTACACTGTCACCACTTCTCATGAAATGACTTAAAGTGAACTTCTCAACTCAAACAGTTTTCTTGCTGAACTAATAATTTGGTTTCTTTTAAACATGCATTAAGTTTCACTTTAATGAGTTATTAGGAATTAATACTTTGCCACGGAATTATTCTGTATCCATTTATGCTCCGACATCTGCACAAAGACATGAAAATATTCACTAAGCTTAGAGTGCGAGCAGACTATCTGTGTGCACACCACGTTAAGCTTGTGTTAACTTAAGCTATAGAGCGTAGATTCGTAACACCACACATTTATCACAACCACCCCCAGTAAAACACAGCTGTTCCTTCCAATATGAATAACTACAGGAAGCCAAAACAGTCTTCATTTTAAAATTAAATATGTATCAAGACAATAAAAAGTAAATTTAAACAGCATGATTTTCTTGTTTGTGTTTCAGCTTTATCTGTGCTTAATTATGCAGGGGTTTAGGTTTCTCCCTGGTGAATTCAAGTCACCAAAACTTAAATAAACTATCCCCATTCTAATTTTATTAAATACTGATTTTAAAACTGTGCATGTAATAACAGAAACTTGAGATGTCTAGTTGGATGTGCAGAAAAACTAAAATAACCAAACCTTAGTACTGGAATTTACTTGGCAGATGAAGGCTGTACAAAAAAAAAAAAGCACACTGTATTTCAGAGACCTTTCAATTTAAATTTACAATTTCATTAGCCATCCTTCAAAGCAGTTACCAACACACAACGTTGGACTTGTCAACCACAAGACTCACAGCCAGTGGTATGTGGTGCTAGGACACCATTATTTCAGGAAGGGAGCTGGGGGAGGAGGGGAAGAGTAGCTCTGATGACTAAAGAACTCCAATAAAAATACAGCCTGAATTAGAAAGCATGAGTTATTCCCTGTCATTTCAATAACAACCAAGGTAAGTATGTTAGTCAGTCAAGTAAATGAGTATAACTCTTCATAAACAATAAAACAAAGAAAACTGCAACATGTAGTTTACCTTTTTCAAAATAAAGATGAAATATTCACAGTGATTTCCATTTTGCCCCTGTATTAAATAAAGTAATATCAATACACACTTACATCTCTAGCTTTCCCATAGAAGGCTTCTTGAAAAGCAGCCTCTAACGATCCGATAAAATAAACCGGATGGCAGTCACCGTACCTGTTTGAGATGAAATTTCCAATTAATTAAAAACTACTGAAATAAGTCATTTCAATATTCTACCTCTTCATATATTTTGTAAACATAATGCAATGTCTAAATCTTTAGGATACACTCCTAAATATTTCCATTCTGTCCTTCAAAAGCCATCTGCCCCCACCATTCAAAAGCTCAAAGTAACTAATGCCCACATTACACATTTTATCATAAAAACTTTGTTTACATACCCCTTAAGTTCTATATAATTTTTCAATCCTAACTTATTTCCTCTCTTTATTATATTCGAAAAGGTTAATTGAAGGTTATTCTTGTATTACACATTAATGCGTCTCATATATAAATGAACATTTCACTACAGAGGAGTGAAAACAGAAGGCATAAACTTTGCGTTATTTTGGAGCTTCTACCTATATGATGAAACATGGCAACTCTTTAACAATGCATGATTTGGTGGTATAAAGTTAAAAAAACCAGCATGTCTCTATTTTTAAAAGTAGAGATTTATTCAAGCACTTCATTGTTGTGAAAACTCTTACTGCAACTCTGTGTATGTTTCCTGATATTAATCAGTTTTAGCTTTCTGTTTCTGTATGTCATATTAAAATTACTATACATACTAAGAGTATCATCCTTCTGGACCCTTACATAATTAAGTAATGATATTAATTAGTGGCAAATTAAATAAGGCAAGAATCTGTCACTCTAACTTGGACTGAGAAATAATTTTATTTTGGAAACAGTTCTAACAAAGTTAAGCTTAAAATAAATTAGATTAGGATGCCTAAATATGAACCCACAAGCAAATATGTACATTTGGTTTATTTTTATTTTCATAATTTACTAAATTTTACTTAGTTTGCAACAAGAACTGCAGTTAATAGGCAAAGCTTACCTTGAAGAAAACTCAGCTGTAAATTGTAATAAGGCATCTCCTTCATTTTCAGCATTTTCTGGCACTTAAAAAATGAAAAATATAAATTAAATTCAACCTTAAGGAAACAGGTTTTAATATGCGAACTCAATTGTTTCACAGATTTTTTTATGTTGACAGCTTAGTGAAGTGGTTATATACATAAATTTCATTAAAGACTATAGACTATGAACCTTTGGAAAGACATGAAATTTCCAGATGCTCACATGACTATATTCAGGCTTTCCAAACAGTAAAATACGCAGGTCCAGTGTAATGTGATACATCACCTGTTCAGAGTTAACATCCTGGACTTACTTTCATACATTAAAATGAAAGGACTGGCTTGAAAGGCTTGACCCACTACATTGCTAGTTACTGTTTTTCTCTTTTTCCCCTCTCTTTTTTTTTTTTAATTTCTATACAAAGTATTAAACAGTTTTCCATACAATTACATCTATTTTCTGTCAAAAAACTAAGGTAATAACACTAAGGCAAGCCTAAAGTAAATAGCAAATATATAGAATAGAATATAGGAGGTAACTGACTGCTCCTGCTCAATTCTTTTCATAATTCAAGGACAAATAATCACTGAGAAACTTGCTTAATGTAAATGACTAAAAATATTCATCACTACGAGATGCTGAAGCTAAAAATCTGTAGATTTTTCCAAAACAGGAAAGTGGAAATCTAGTAATCTACAGGTACAGTTAGTTAGAAATTCTAATTTCTCAGAGTTAAATTATTATTCTTCAACTATAAGCTAAAACTGTAAGGTTAAGATACGTTCTCTGCGGGGAGATGCTCTTATAGTTGCCACTTATGTTTCCAGTATTCCTTTGATATATCCATCAGACATGAGACTCAATTCTAACATTCCTATCAAAAGATACTTTCCTGTTTCTTACTACGCAGACACATGGTACCTCCCTGCATTCACCAGTGCTGTACCATGTCAATTAACTGTCAACTCTTACTCATTGGTGATTTCCTCAAGGCAGATGACGCTACTCCAAACATTTCTCCATCATCAACTCCAAACTCTGTTGCATCTTCAAAGTCATCTCCATCACTGTCACTAACCATATGAACATCAGTGCACTGCTATATAAAAACAAAACCCACCATAAGCCTCTATTATAGATGTCTTCTTCAGTGAAATATGAAATACATAACATACTGAAAAATACTTACACATACCTACAAAAACACTTGATTTTTATTTTTTTTTATTACATTTTATTTTACTATTTTATACATTATCAGATTGCTTTTTATAAATAAGATCTAATTTTTACCAGAAGTCTGGCTGACAGCAATATTATGTGACAAAATGCATTATTAAATAACTAAGTGGCTGGCTCTGTCTACACACAGTTGAGCAAATTTTGTCTAAAGTCAGTGCTGTTTTCCATCTCAAGGTACTGGAGCTGGTTTTACTGCATAAGAATGAGTGAGAAGAGTGACATAATCTATCAGTAATCTTAGATATCCAGATGAAATCTACTTTAGCAATACTGCATGGTGGAGCACAGTCCCTGGAAAGGAAATCTTCTCACATTGCTATCTCTTCCCCACAAATTTAGCACCCGCTGTCCTAACTTGGCACACCAGACTACTGTGTTTCGAATGACAGGCTGATTTCTTTGGCCTATCAATATAAAGGAGAAAAATCGACAGTTCTGTGCGAGGAGCTAAGGTCCCATCTTGTGCCTCCAACGCCCACTGTCAGATCTTTTGGATTTCATGTCCTCTGAAACATAAAACAACTCAGAAAACTTTGTTTTTAACTAGTCAACATCAACTTGTCTCTAAACTGACTTCTTTTCATGAACAACTATTCCAGCTCCACTTGACCTTGGAGTTACTGTGACAGAACACTACAGAAAATTTACATGAATCTGACAGCACAACAAAGCACGTTATGAAACGTGAGATTTCAGCTCTAGCATGCAAGTGACCATGAGAGGAGCAAAGAGCTCCAAACATGATGGATCTCTCCCTACAACAGCTGCACATTAGAGACTTCAAATACAGAACATTTTCTCAATGAACAAGTCCACAAGAAAACTGTGTGGCGGACAAGGTGGACAAACAGGTAATTCTGAAAGAACGAAGTGAAGAAGCAATGACAGAGTCTTGCTGGCAGATCCCAGGACAAAACAATAACCATCTATTTAGCCTGCTAAGTGGTTCAGGTATAGCTAAAATAGCATTGTCTCACCATACTCTGTTTTTCAACAACTATCCAACAGCATTTATCCAGGCTTGCATCCTGACCATACCTCACAGCTACGTCTTGCCAACTCAGCTGAGCAGACTGAAACACACCCTTCTTGTGCAGCAAGATAAACCTTACACGCTAAAGTCCTCTGAATTAAATGGTGCAAAAGGTGTGTGGAAAATACAAAACTACTTATATTAAATTCATTACGAGGAAAGACAAAGGGATTTGAAATTTTAACGATTAATAATTAGAAACAACAAAACAAGAGTTTGTACAGTCTGCAAACAGCTCTTTCTGCTAACCCTAAAAACGTATGTTTTAGCCTTCTGCTTGATTTGGAGTATTTTTCAGCGCTCACTGTAGCTTGTTTGCTTTGCTTTTCTTCTTTTTCTTCAAGGACTCACCTAGTTCCTTACTTTGCCACAACTAACGTATTACAGGAATTGCAAACTGATTCTTTTAAGATGCAATTATACTGACATATTTGACAACAGAACGGTTGGTGACCATGGCAAATTGAGATTTCCCTGCTTTTTCCAAGAGTATCCTTGTTAAATAAAGATGACGTTCTTACCTCCTCTGACTGTTCCCTTGTTTGTACAGGTGAAGACCTTCTTCCAACTGTAAGTCGATGGCAAGGAAACGTCAGTCCCGAAACAGCTAGAGTCATCTACAAACAAAGCAATGATCGTTTATTAAAGCCATAGTCTCAACTGAGGGTTGGGTTTCTTTAAGGGTGCTTTGAGATTCAAACTGAAGATTGCACTGCAGAAGACCGAATTAATTATACAAACATAAAGAAGCCTGAAAAATGAAAATTATTCTTTATATGAAAATATTCAACGAAACAACTGAGTTTTACAGGAATGCATGCACGGAGTATCAAAACAAGCTAAATGGAACTGCAAACTCAAAACTGTCTTGAGTAGTTATTTTCACCTAAATCAGGCCTGAAGTTTGAACCATTATTTGTATGTGGTAGCTTTTACAGTGGTACGTCTTAATGAAGCAAATGTAAATTTTTCATCCCTAGCCAATAAGCAGACATTAAAGCAACAAGTAGTTAAAAACAGCTAAGTCATTTAAAAAAAAAAAATACTATCTTGAAAGAACAGTTTATTGGCAGACATTGTAAAAGGCACAATCCTGATGGCTACTTAAAAATTATATTTTATCCTTATCTTGGTGATTATTAATGTCAAAGGCACGTTTTGTTTCTCATATGAACAAGGACACATGCAAACCCCGGTGAAACTGCAGTCAGCACAGACAGGATAGATGTTCATTAACCAGTGCCGGCAGAAACAGCACTTTTGCCTGTTGCTGTACGCTTAAATCTCAACTTTTTTAACATTAATGGAACAACAAATGGAAAGAAGCTATCATAATTTGAAAGAAAAAACTAGTAGATGCCTGCAAACACAGTAACTTTTGAAGATCCACATTTAAAAATGTACTAATCAATATGACAAAAAAACCCCAAAAAAACCAACAAACCCACGAAAACCCAAAAAACCAAACACCACACAAACTGCCTACTCTTGTATGATCAGAACTGTCTGTGCTATCCTTGCCATTTCAAGCACCTTCACACATTTCTTCCTACAGCGTAGGCGTACACCTGGCCTCCGGCCCTCTCCTGGAAAGCGCACGAGCCCTGGTCAGGTGAGGTGGAGGGCTGTAAGTAGAATCTTCAGAAGCACCTAAGCTCTGTCTTGGTAACACGTGGGGTAAATTCACAGTGTGAATAGCTCTTAAATGAAGATAGCCAATTAATTTTGGCAGAATCTGTACCCAACAAAATATTTGATGCTTGGCGTGGTTTGGTCCAGCCAGGAACTAAGCACCACTCAGCTGTTTGCTCGTCTTCCCTCTCCCCCAGTGGGATGTGGAGGAGAATCAGAGAAAAAGACAAGAAAACTCCTGGGTTGAGATAAGGACAATTAAATATTTGAAAATAAATGACAGTCAGAGTCCCAGAACCCTGAAAGCCAGTGAGCCAGCAAAGCCAGACACCAAACACAAGCCCCTGGTCCAGTTCCCCCAACTTATATACCGAGCATGAAGTTTGACGGCGTGAAATATCCCTTGCTCAGTTTGGGTGAGCTGTCCGGGCTGTCCCCTCCCAGGTACAGAAGGGGCTGGGAACACTGTGCAGTATCAGAAACTGAGGAAGACCTTGACTTAATATAAACATTCCTTAGCAACAACTAAAAGCATTAGTATGTTATCAATATTCTTCTCAGTACAACCAAAACACAGCCTCATAGTAGCTACTGTGAGGAAAATTAACCGTACCCCAACCAAAACCAGCACAATGCTGTACAATTCTTAGTGACAGGGAGAACGATAGTTCTGGCTTAATGTTTAAAGTATTGTTTCTAATGGTTCCTTCAGAAGAAACACAGAGAGGGCAGACAATTTTCTAGATCCTTTAAAAATTACTACTATTTTTTGAGGCGCTCAGAATTAGAGACTTACATTGTCTATTTCAGAAACAGAGCATCCTCCTAATTAACTATAAAAACATTCAGGTAAAATAAATTTCAATCACCCTTAACAAAACCCCAATAATAAATCATAAGCCTTAAATTTCATTTACTGCCATGAGCACTAAAAATACCCCATTTATTTTTATACATAATTCAAAATGACTTTATCACTTATCTGCTAGAACTCGCAAAGATTTAATTTGCTGCAGGTTGAAGCAGGCTGATTAAGCAGGCTGGTTACCAAATGAATGTTAACCTGTCTGAACTAGCCTACTGTCACATTCTCATAGCAAGGTTAAACACAAGTTTAGCTGCATAAAAAGCCTAGCTATCATCTTAAAGGAAGTGAGTAATACTACTCCGGAGCAAATGAAATATTAAAGGCGACGTACAGGTCAAGACCAATTACCTATGAAACTCCTGTGACACGAGCGTAAAGAACCTTATTCTCTGTAATAGTCCACCAGTTTAATTAGTATTTTCATAAGCTTTTAATCATAAAGTAAACTCAACTGTTACAAAACCTGAAACTTTGCCCTGTAGTTACCACACTATACAAAATACTGCTAAAACATACGCACACTAACCACACACAGACTGAAGTTCCCTCTCTAACAGCTCCGAATACCCTGACAGATGTCTGGAAAGGCTCCTGATATCTTTTACGTACACATTAAAGAAAGAGAGGTAAGATCAAGCCAGCAGTTATTGCGCTCTTTCATCACTGGCCCAACAGCAGAGTGTTGCAATTCCAATTTGCAACCCTATATCGCAGTGTCAAAGCTAACAGCGGAAGGGGTTCGACATCAGACCACGTCTCATCCTACTCCCCAGACAGTGGTTGGAATGTTAGGTTTTTTTGGTGTGAGAAGTCACCCTCCCCTTTGGCTTTCTGGAGAAGTTTTTGCAGAAGAAAGGAAAAGACAAGTAGAAATTCTGCTTTTCATTTCAAAATAATCTAGCAGCACGCAGGTTTCTCTAGAATTGTCATCTTCATTCTAAGACCAAGGAGACAGTCCACTCTTCAGGACAGACTCTTGCACCAGGAAGTTTAATCCTTATTTTGGAATTTATGGAAACATCAACACTAAGCAAAGATTACTTTCCAGGCAGTTCAGTCCGGTGCCATGGACAGCAAACCTCAACTTCCACCAAGCTTTTGAACGCAGGCCAATTTACTGATGGGAGCACCCGCTGAAGTGTCTCAGTGGCCAGAACCACTTAGATGTCAGGCTGCTCTTGGAGGGTTCTTTCTTTGTAAATACTGCATCTGCCTGCTCCCCGACAGGGTTGCAGTACATTAGATACAAGAATTGCTGTGTCACACACATCTCCCCATGGGCATGGACGCAATCTTTTTACCAACTCCAAAACTGAAAATGCTGGTTTGTAGCCTGAGTACCTGATTACCCATATTCTTAAATCATGAATCCTTCTGATTGGACACTCAAAATTCACTAACTTTTCAGAATAATTGATTTTTCTGCATGAAAATCAACATTATTTGAGTACAATATCTTCAATCGGATGCCTTTCATGGGCACAAGAGATATCAAAAGACGCATATGCAGGACTCTTGGCACCAATAATGAGCTAGACAGATTATCAATTAAATAATACAAACAAACATATCTGTAAATGTTCACTGTAAGTTGATTTGTATTTTAATAGCCAGCATTAATAATTGGGGGATTAAGTTAAGCAACAACTTTTCTGACCCAAATGCGCAGGATTCTTTGCCAAGACCTTTCCAGATCGACCTAGAAATACTTGCCAAATCCAGTGAGACCAGGTGCTTTAAACAACAGATTATTCTTCCTGTTAGAAAGGATCGTTTTTATGCAGAAGGTTCTGGAGATATGCTTTAGAACAACTTAAAAACTATTTTTTTCAAATAGTTCAAGATACAAATACGTCTGCAGCAAGGAATGAAATCAGTAATCGCATGTAACTCCAGTGCTGCCGTCGCATGCTCAGAATAAGAGGAAAAATTATAAATCCATAATCTCACGAGCTTTCAATCTTTTTCTAGAAAGAGTTTGTTGGCACGACTTAATTCCCACTTCTGAAATTACAAAGAAAGGAGCAAACTCAGTCTCTTGTACCAGTCCAGGGATATTTAATCAAGACGCTAAAGATCTGAGAAAGATAAACAGCATTAGGAACATGAAGGAATGATACCAGCAGAGAGTGGCAGCTGCACAACTTTCTCTCCTGAGAAATGCTGATACAAAAATTATAAACTCTGTACACTGCATCAGGAAAGCAGTAATTGGATATGACAAATTAGTCTTCCTCGTATTCAGCCTCACGCGGATGGAAAAAACAGCACTTTGTAAAAGCTTCTAATGGCAACCGTATCTAGTGAAGAAAGTATGAAGGCAAGCTCTAAGAGCACCCTAACACCTTACAGAATGTAGCTGGACATCCAAAATGGCCAGCTTAAAGCAGTAACTGTAAAGAAGTGGACCTTCTTCCTCATCGTCAACTACCACAGTCATTTTGGAAACGCTCACTCTTTGCTCTGTGTAAATATAGACACGTCTCTCCAGCAAACCAGCAATTGATTAAAACACTAAAACAACTCTTCTTGCCGCTAAGCTGCCTCAATTTAAGTCAAAACATACTTTAGAAAATTAATTATGGTAGAAAAACGGGCATGCCCTTGAAGCATACAATTTACAGACTTAACCATTAGGCCTGTTACTATCCTCTCAGAGCTTACCTTAGTAACGTATGGCCTTTCCAGAGGGATGAGATGGAGAATGACCATTCCTGGAAAATGACCAAAGTGCTGCCAAGACAGCGATCTTTAGTAGAACAGCTTCCTCTGGAGCAAATCAAGCTCCCTACCACAGTCATCAAGAGCAGGAAAACTTCCCCAGGAACTCCAGAGTTTCACCAGTGCAGTAGGCAAGACAAGTCTGCAAAACATGTCACCCTGCAGAAGCTGAGAGCAGCAGATACGTAATGGACCTGCTTTGGCATCACTTGAGAGGCTGTGCTGTTCACAGGATACCCGTCATCAAGGGAGCCCTTTTCTCAAAAAGGATGTAGCACTTTTAAGAAGAACCATTGAAAACAAGCAAATGTAAGTGATGCTGCTTAAAGGAAGTAGGAATATTGATTTAATTTGTGCTCTCCGTTAAGTATTTGACTGCTAGTAGAGCAGTGAGCA